CTTGATAAATGACGTTTGACAGAGCTGATACATTAACTGACAGTGAGAGTTTCCGACAGGGGAACTGACATTAACTACTCATGGCATAAAACAAGAAATAAAAACAGACAGAAACAACAGAGCGTAGCATCACCCTCTCTAATACAACCCGGGTATAATTATCACACTGGGACTGGCGTAGAAAGGCAAAGGGGAATAAATCACATTGACTGTAGTTTACTGATGCTTGACTTCGTGGGTGTGGTATGCTATGTGTTGGATGTAAACAAACTAGAGAGCCACAGCTGGGAATATTGTCCAAGAAACAGACCCGAAAACAAAATAAAATCGGGTAGCATAACATTACGAACGGATGACATTATTGCTAGCGAATTAGGGAGCAACGAAGTCGATGAATAATACTGGCGAACAAAATTGACTGCGAAGCACAAATAAAAGTGAAAAACATCATACACAAAAAGACAATATTTTGACAGCAGGAGATGTGAAAGCATTGACAGTGTGTTTTGCTTTTGACAGGGAGAGAGATGACAGATAAATCTACATTAAAAACACCAAAGTCATTTCATACAGTGTACGACTCAGCAGAAAACGACAATTACAAAACACGTAAACCTTTTATGGGAGAAATGACTGACAACATATTCAACATTATCACGATACAGAGAAATCTATACTGTACTGTAACGCTATCTGGTGGTGGTAAGTAGAGCAGAACTGTGGTGCGTCCTGTCTACACTCCTCCACGCCCAGTACACGCCTGCACGCCAATACTCATTTAATACATTTACACTCCAATACAACTTTAACACACACATACACGCCTACACATAATGGCTCACGTTACTCCACTACGGGTATATAAAGTGAAACATTTTTTTTTACTTGCGATCTATCAATGAAATTCTTTCTCTGTGAATCATTTATCAACAAACATTACCGAGTGAAAGGGAATTTTGAGAGATACAGTCGTTTGTAATATGTAAAGCGTTAATTACCAAGACACAGTACTAATTGCGGTAATTTAAGTGGCCCAGAAGATGAGGATGGTGATGTTGGTGATGGGGGAGGCAGTTAGTGGTGGGTGTACATTATTTTAATTAACACCACAAGACACGAGAGATGTAACCGAGTTTGTTTAGCGGATCTTGCTACTTTTTGACTGGCAACACTGTTTTATCTTCTTCACTACTCATTGATTGTTAACCTTCCTCCTCTTCCTCACCACTGATTAACTGTCACCCTCCTCCTCCTCATCGTCATCATCACCACCACCACTCATTAACTGTCAACCTTCCTCCTCCTCCTCACCATCACTCATTGACTGTTAAATTCCTCCGCACTACTCATTGACTGTTAACAGTAACAACAAACCCCAGGACATGATGACGTAACAACAAACCCCAGGACAATATGATGACGTAACAACAAACCCCAGGACAATATGATGACGTAACAATAAACCCCAGGACAATATGATGACGTAACAATAAACCCCAGGACAATATGATGACGTAACAACATAACCCCAGGACATGATGACGTAACAACATAACCCCAGGACATGATGACGTAACAACATAACCCCAGGACATGATGACGTAACAACATAACCCCAGGACATGATGACTTAACAACATAACCCCAGGACATGATGACGTAAAAGTAAAATCAAGTGTGATGACATTGTGAAAGTCGGTGTGCAAATTGTGTGGAAATAATTAGCTGTTAGCAATAGAATATATTTAACAATTTGGAATGATTTAGTGATAATGTTTATTGAGCCAAACATGAAAATATTTTGTCTTTTAATTCTTCAGTCATCAGTGTAAAATACAACACTGAGAAGAAATATTGAAGTGAAGAAAATAATAAAGACAGGTGTTTATTTATTGTAGAAGGTGATTGAGAAAGTGACTAGCGAAGTGAAATATTAAGTGTTGTAAATTACAAGTTGTACGTAACCCGGAGAGTGGATGGCCTGCTGTGTGACGAGGGAAAATGGGGGTGTGAGTTAACTCCCCCAGGGAACGGAACGACGGAACGTAACAATAACTGCCGCCGCTTGAGAAGTGATCGTGGATAATGACTGTGTTCACTGCCTGATAAACAAAGGAAATAATGTACTTCCGGATGATGAATGATGATGCTATTTCATTGATCTTAATTGCTATTATTATATACATTTTATTTATAAGTGTTGTCTGGAAATCATAAAATGAGGTTCGAAAAATACATGAGAATTCAGAGATTGAACGACGTAAACTGATCATCATTGTTGGTTGAGAAATATTTTGAGTGGTATAATGAATGAGGCAATAAATAAATAAAAACTCAGTGATTCAAAAGAGCTGATACTATGATTAGGAAATTGATGTCGATATGAATGAGCTCGCAGTGGGTATTACAGTACTTTTACTTTCGGACAACACGGGAATTTTAGGAATTTTATCTTTGCAATCAATAGTTTACACAATTCTAGGACACTTTTCTTCTATGACTTTTTTCCCTCGCAAATGACTTATATATTCCAGGGGTGTTATAGGTTAGATTAGATTAGGTAAGGTAAGGTAATTTTAAGTCCTCTAATTATCACGTTGCCGTAGTCACACGAAAGGGGAATTGCTGACGCTGAGTTTAGAAGGAAAATTCACTTCGTTTGCTTATTTCCGCGACACTTAGGGTTGAAAGATTGAATTTACTAGGAAATCTGCTTTTAATATATTGGTTTCCTCTTCATCTAGAGTTGAAAGATTAAGTATTGTGAAAATTCTCAATATACTGAATATACAGGAATATACACAACTCGGCTTATTTCTACTTGCCGTCTAGGTGAGAGGTCAATTTTGGAGGGGGATACGCTTATTTTCCATATTTCTACTTAGCTTAAAATTTAAAGCTTGAATACATAAGATACGCTTTATATACTTACTATACTGTCACTCAAGCTGAAGGAAAAACTTACGAATTCACTCACGTCCACGTTTGGAAATCATGGGAAAAGTGTTGAACGTTGGTGGGTGTTGAGAAGAGGTGTTGGATGTTGAGGTGTGAAGTGTAGTGTTGGGGGAGGTGTTGAGAAGTGTTGGATGTTGAGGTGCGAAGTGTAGTGTTGGGGGAGGTGTTGAGAAGTGTTGGATGTTGAGGTGCGAAGTATAGTGTTGGTGGGTGTTTAGGTCTAAGGTGTAGTTTTGGTGTGTGTTGAGGTGTGATGTTGATGGGTGTTGAGGTATAAAGTGCAGTATTGATGGGTGTTGAGGTGTAAAGTGCAGTATTGATGGGTGTTGAGGTGTAAAGTGTATTGTTGATGGGTGTTGAGGTGTAAAGTGTAGTGTTGATGGATGTTGAGGTGTAAAGTGCAGTATTGATGGGTGTTGAGGTGTAAAGTGTAGTGTTGTTGGATGTTGAGGTGTAAAGTGTAGTGTTGTTGGATGTTGAGGTGTAAAGTGTAGTGTTGATGGATGTTGAGGTGTAAAGTGTAGTGTTGTTGGATGTTGAGGTGTAAAGTGTAGTGTTGTTGGATGTTGAGGTGTAAAGTGTAGTGTTGTTGGATGTTGAGGTGTAAAGTGTAGTGTTGTTGGATGTTGAGGTGTAAAGTGTAGTGTTGTTGGATGTTGAGGTGTAAAGTGTAGTGTTGTTGGATGTTGAGGTGTAAAGTGTAGTGTTGTTGGATGTTGAGGTGTAAAGTGTAGTGTTGTTGGATGTTGAGGTGTAAAGTGTAGTGTTGATGGATGTTGAGGTGTAAGTGTAGTGTTGTTGGATGTTGAGGTGTAAAGTGTAGTGTTGTTGGATGTTGAGGTGTAAAGTGTAGTGTTGTGTTGAGGTGTAAAGTGTAGTGTTGTTGGATGTTGAGGTGTAAAGTGTGTTGTTGGATGTTGAGGTGTGTTGGATGTTGAGGTGTAAAGTGTAGTGTTGTTGGATGTTGAGGTGTAAGTGTAGTGTTGTTGGATGTTGAGGTGTAAAGTGTAGTGTTGATGGATGTTGAGGTGTAAAGTGTAGTGTTGTTGGATGTTGAGGTGTAAAGTGTAGTGTTGATGGATGTTGAGGTGTAAAGTGTAGTGTTGATGGATGTTGAGGTGTAAAGTGTAGTGTTGTTGGATGTTGAGGTGTAAAGTGTAGTGTTGATGGATGTTGAGGTGTAAAGTGTAGTGTTGTTGGATGTTGAGGTGTAAAGTGTAGTGTTGTTGGATGTTGAGGTGTAAAGTGTAGTGTTGTTGGATGTTGAGGTGTAAAGTGTAGTGTTGATGGGTGTTGAGGTGTAAAGTGTAGTGTTGATGGGTGTTGAGGTGTAAAGTGTAGTGTTGATGGATGTTGAGGTGTAAAGTGTAGTGTTGATGGATGTTGAGGTGTAAAGTGTAGTGTTGATGGATGTTGAGGTGTAAAGTGTAGTGTTAATGGATGTTGAGGTGTAAAGTGTAGTGTTAATGGGTGTTGAGTGAGGTGTTAGTGGTGTACCGCACTCGAGACTGTCGCCATTGTGGGGTAAATCATCATCATCAACAAAGGAGTTACGTTGATATGATCTGCAATTAAACACTAAGTGACAGACTCTACAGGGTGTAACAGAAGCGTTGGGTCTCGTTTGGGTTTTTTAACTTTTTGTAAATAATCGTTCAAATTTAGTCATATATTTGTTGTTTTATGAAGTATAAATGCATTTTTAATTAGTCTATCACTGTCTAAGCACTCTCCATTGTTTATACTTCGACGTGGTAAATAATCAACATGCCAACGCTTTCACGGTTAACAATGTATCACTTATTGACAATGTTTAAACCCTACGGGGCCAAGTCTTCTGAAACTTTTTGTACATTTCCGGGTCCCCTTCACTGTGTGCCTGAAAGGAGAAGTGAGGAAGGTAGTCGACCAAATCACTCTCACTCGCCCCTCTTTAAGTTATCTTTTGGATTAGATGTCGTATACAGAAGAGGGGGTCGCTCAGGGCACCCCTTTCTGTGTCACTTTCATTTCTGGTGATGGAGGTAAGGACCCTGACTCACCTTATTGTTGAGAGATGTGTACTGTACGTTGCCGTCCTCCTCGACGAGCGATGCCCGGCGGTTGCCGTTGGACTCCACCAGCACCACGGGGCCTTCTGGCAAGTTTCTGCGTTTGATCCGTGGGACGTTCATACCTGGGGGGTTCACTATCCTCCTGACGGGACGAGGCCGTGTGTCCAGGTCCTCGCTGGAAGAAGTCTTAGGTTTGTTTCGTCTTCCCATACGTATACCTGCAGTTGTCTCCGCCGTGGTCACAGCTAGGGCTGCCCACACCGTCAACACCCACCACATCACCCAAGTGTCCCTCATTGTCTTTCCCTCAACACAAACTCCCCTACGTCGCCCTCTCCTTCACTTCATCCCCACTAACACAACACTGACAGCAAGTCTCTCCCTCCACCAGAACAGTGAGCTCGCAGATGGAGTTGAGGCGATATTTAACGATACATACGGGGAGAACTTTCTCATCCCGGGGCCTGGCGCGCAGTGAGCACGTGGTAACCATCTAGCCACACTTATACGCTCTCCCCCCTCAGTTCCTCCCCCTATCATTCCCTCCATGTCACACAGATTTGCCCTCAACTTCTCCCCTCCCTCATCATACTGCTCCCCCCCCTCTCCTCTCCCGGTCACAGCCGGACGCCCTCTCACACCTAACAGACCTCCAAGCACCCACGCTTGACGGAGTTCAGTCGGACTCGAGCGACCATCTACTCTCTCTGTCCTTGTAGAATGTAGAATACCAGAGAGAAGAGGAGAGCTGCTTCCACACTGCGACACAATTGGCCAGGGTGTCACGATGTCATGTGTGTGTGTGTCGTGGTCCGTTGGCCATAACCACCGGCCAGATGGAAGTCACGACACCTAGATGCCAGTGTCACATAACTGACGAAACGTATTCAACTCAATCGCAGACTTTTACGATTTTACGATGAAGAGATGACCTACCATCAGTGAGCACAAGCCGCCGAGATGACGGAGCTGGTGGGAGAACACCTGCACTCCTGATGACCCTACATGTGAAGACTATTGGCTGCGTGAGTCAGCCCAGTGGCCGCCTCACCGTAACCTGATTGATGGACTTCTCCGACTGGCAGCGTGAGTGAACTATTTCCGGTGTCTCAGGTCATTTACCAAAAAAAATTAATTTTCCTCACTTTTTTTTCTCTTTCGGGTGAGAGGATCACGATAAATCAACGATGATTGGGTGACGAGAACCCGTCGAGTAGCCACCGAGAACCTCCGTAACTCACACCTCTCGACTTCTTCCTCTGGGGTCACTTGAATGGTTCTTGGACGATCTTTATAAACGACGCCTGACGCTGTAAAGGGGCGCTTGTGGTAGAAGCGGTACCGTTCTTGCCTCGCAAGCAAGATGTCACGGGTTCGATTCCCGGGCAAGCGGAAGTTGTTTGGACACTTCCTAGCCCCCTTAGTCCCTGTTCACCTAGCAGTAAAGTAGGTACCTGTTGTAAATCGATAGGTTGCGAATTCTATTCAGGGAAAGTTGTTGGAGCTTCTAAACTTGAAAAAAAAGCTGGGTTGTGGGACGATGGATTCTTCAGCAGCACCTCCCCCCCCAACCCCAGCTGCTGTGACATGCTGGTTTTTAGTGACATGAGAGAAAGGTAACGATTGTACTCCGACGCATCACCCCGAGGGACAAGAAACTGTAGGTTAAACGTTAGTGTTGGCGGGACGGTGTTGGTATGCCAGGCGTCGCGTCGCTTGATGAGGAAGAAATTAATGTTTTGTCTTGGTACATAAACGTCGCTAAAAGTTTGATAATATTTTATACTACAATGATTCGTATGTGTTGATCATTGTCTCAACAAAATATTAACACACACACACACACACACACACACACACATTTTCTCACTTTCTCCTCAAACTTTTTTCTTCATACTTCTTTCAATTGTTTTCTTGTTATATGTTTTATTTTACTTTCTTTTTCATTCCTCGTTATCTTATTGTCTTTTGCTTCTTCTTTGTCTTTATTACGGTTAAATTCTTTGGGTCACCTGAAGGTTAGCTACTCCAGATTATTTCATCTGGAGATTAACCACCTTAACCCTGCGTGGGGGAAGGGGGGGGAGGTTAGGTTAAGGTTGGTTAGTTGTGTGTTAGGGTGGTTAATTTTCAAGTGAATCGAACTTTTCTATGATTTCCTCTTGCTGAATCTTACCGTGAACTAAACCCTGTTGATTGGCAGATACATTGGTTGAGTGAGAACATCAGTCGGATTTTGGCCAATTGGAAACTTTACAGGGGGTGCTTAACCAATCAGGGATAAACTAGTGACGTCACATGGCTAACAAAGAGGCTTAGCCAATCAGGGAGAACATAGTGGCGTCAGAGTGTGACCAATCAAGACGTATTGTGACGTTGAGGTGTCGCACGACTAAAAATGTCAGGAGCACCCTTGACGATTCACTGAAATGTATTAGAATTAGACCAAACAGGGAACACACACACACACACACATATATATACTGTATATATATATATATATATATATATATATATATATATATATATATATATATATATATATATATATATATATATATATATATATATATATATAATTAACAACACAAGACAAACAGGCAAAATAACACATCATTTGCGAAGTAATTCAAATGATGATGCAGTATTACCAACGCCAAGCTCCGCGAACTCCCCACCATCCCCCCCCCTCAATGAGAGGTGGCGTTGGCGACGCTGACTAACATTACTACTAGGCTTTCCGGTGAGTAAGATGAAGTAGTGATGAGTAACTGGATGACTTGGTGAGTAAATGAGAAAAAAATATGTATTAAAATAGGTCGAGCATGAGTGTAGGCTAAATTGTGTAATATTTTCTAGTTTTTTGTCTAAATTCCTCTTGGCTGTGTGTGTGTGGGGGGGTTAGACAGGCAATGTGTACATATTTATATACTTGTGTGCTTGTGTGTGAGTTAAGAGCAGTTGATTCACCATGAGTAGAACTGTGAGTCATCCTACTTTCCCTCCTGATCCTCTTCCAAAATTGATCGTCTCCTCCGTCCCCCTGGCTACACACACACACACACACGCACACTCACGAGTATCGATTAGGACGGAGGCTATTTTCAACACCTAAGACTGGTTAAATCACTCTACTCTTCCTCTGTAATGTTCATACGACAAGTGTACCAAATACTGTGTTCTTCCAGGGAATGATCATTATATAGTGGCCAGTTTTTTTTTTATTTACTGAAAATAAATCCCTGTATGCCTCGTTGCCCCAGTTAGCTGTCAGCAGACGTCCTGGAGTCCACAACAACATCAGTGTATTGGTATTTTTCAAAGTGCAGTCAAGTGTTGAATAAAATGACACTCCGATTTCCTCCTTGTAAAAAAAAAAAAATTCCAGTTTATAATAATACTATTCCAGGACTTAGTGATGGTATTGGCACTATTCTACAGCTTAATGATTGCGTTGGCACTATTCCAGGACTTTATGATGGCATTGGCACTATTCCAGGACTTTATGATGGCATTGGCACTATTCCAGGACTTTATGATGGCATTGGCACTATTCTTCAAAGGTTGCGTGGCACTATTCAGGGCTTTATGATGGCATTGGCACTATTCAGGACTTTATGATTGCATTGGCACTATTCCAGGACTTAGTGATGGTATTGGCACTATTCTACAGCTTAATGATTGCGTTGGCACTATTCCAGGACTTTATGATGGCATTGGCACTATTCCAGGACTTTATGATGGCATTGGCACTATTCCAGGACTTTATGATGGCATTGGCACTATTCCAGGACTTTATGATGGCATTGTTACTGTCCCATAGCTTCATGAAGACACTTGGCACTTCCATGTAAAGAAGCACACTGACGCTATTCCAAGACGAACACTACTTTTACTTCCCAGCATTATGAAGATAGTGTCACTGTTCCCTGTCAAGGCATGTCACTCACTCCCCGTGTATCACAGACATGACATTTCATTATCTCGGTCTCTCGTTTTGACAGTCACTTCTCTTCTCTTGTCTGTTTATTTACATTTGTTTAGCTTCTTTCACCGTTTATTTGTGTTTGTTTATCTTCTTCTCCCGTTTATCAGTCTGTTTAGTCTCTTCCCCTGTTTATTGCCGACTTTCTTTGTTCTTCCCCATTATCTTTACTTCTTTCTATATTCTTCATATTCTTTATTTTTGTTTTAGTTCCATCTCCCATTTTCTTTGTTTATCTGGATCTTAATCCCCGTTTTCTTTACATCTTTTTCATTACCTTCATCTGTGTATCTAATTTGTCTAACTCATTCCCTACTTTCTTTTTAAACACACACACACACACACACACACACACACACACACACACACACACACACACACACACACACACACACCTATTAAACCAAACACTAAAAACACCCTCTGAGAACCGCCCCCCCCATCCACCCCAATAAAAAAAAAATAAAAATAAATAAATAAAATAAATAAATCTAGAAAGTAAATAGAGAGTGACTCCTAATGACTCCTCCTATCATCTCCTGACTCACTCTGACTCACCCTCGCGTATCTGTAACTCCCGTGAGAGAGAGAGAGAGAGAGAGAGAGAGAGAGTACCTTTGAGATTATACACGTAGATTTATTTTAAGGCAGGACCATAGCATCTGTAGAAATGACTCGGAACAACGCAAGTCATTCTTAGTTCTCAGTCTTCTTATACCTTCACTGCCTTGGTGTGATCTGATGGAGGAAGGAGAGGAGGAACACGCTTTTTGGAGTGTCATTGACTCTCTCTCTCTCTCTCTCTTTCTTCTTTTCCTTCTTCTGGACCTGTCATGTCACGCTGATCGCCACTATCCCACACACACACACACACACACACACACACACACACACACACACACACACACACACACACACACACATGTAGGTACTATCACCATCTCTCTTTTCATCCTTACCTTCCTCACTCCCTCGATCCTTTCTTTCCTTTCTCTCCTTTCACTTTCCCTTCCTCTTTCCCTCTCTCCTTTCGCTTTCCCTCCTCTCCCTCACATCCAGTTCCCATCTCTCTCTCTTTCCATCCATTTTCCTTCTCTCACATCCACCCTTCCTTCCCTCCCACCATCCCATCCACTTTCCTTCTCTCCCACCCCTCCTTTCCCTACCTCCCATCCACCTTCCTTCCCCCTCATATTCACCATCCCTCTTATCCACCCTCCCATCCACCCTCTCTCCTCTCCCACATTCACCAGTCTCCTCATCTTACCACATTGGGTGAGTTAAGATGCTGGTGGTCCGCTAATGTGGGTGTTTGAGTGACGTTCCTCTTGATATTTTATGATGATTCTTCTCCTTTCACCCGTGTTGTCCGCTTGTTGTTGTTATTGTTGTAGTTTGTTGTTGTTTGATGGCGGAGTATTGTTATTATTTAGTTTTTATTTATTATTATTATTATTATTATTATTATTATTATTAT